CAGGGACACCATTCCTACCCCCTGGCTAATAGCACTCCATGGACCTAACCTCCACGATTTTATCTAACTTCTCTTTAAACTCTGTTATAGTTCTAGCCTTCACAGCCTCCTGCAGCAAGGAGTTCCACAGGTTGACTATTTGCTTTGTGAAGAAGAACTTTCTGTTATTAGTTTGAATAACCCATTCATTTCATTTGGTGTCCTCTATTCCTTATATTATGGGAACTAACGAAGAACTTTTCTTTATGCACCCACTCCACACCACTTATGCTTTTATAGACCTCTATCATATCCCCCCTCAGTCTCCTCTTTTCTAAGCTGAAAAGTCCCAGTCTCTTTAGCCTCTCTTCATATGGGACCTGTTCCCAACCCCTGATCATTTTAGTTGCCCTCCCCTCTCCCACCCTCTCTCTTCCCCTCTCCCACCTCCTTTTCCCAGTCTCCCCCAGTTTTGTTAAATAAAGAGAGTTTCTATTTTTGACCACATGTGTCCTTTATTTTGTACATCAGGAAGCGGGGCTAGGGATAGGTAAGTAGAAGGAGGTGAGGGAGGAATGGGGTACGAGCCCCCGATGAAGAGGACTGGGGTGGCTCTGCGGGCTCCTCGGGGTGGAAACTCTCCTGCAGCCCCCCGATTAACACCCCCCCCCGGGTGGCAGCCTGCGGCAAGTGCAGCCGGGCAGATGGCCGAGTGCTGTGATGTGCTGAGTGTGGGCACTCAGGGCATTCCAAGCCAGGACTGCTTTGCTGTCCGTCATCGAGGTAGACAAGCAAGCGGGGAACCCTGAGAACTGTCTGTCCGGAGTGGAGGTCGGGTCCCTTTAAGCACAGCCCTCGGCTAGCCTGAGACAGCAGCTCCACACTCTAAGTCCTAACCTGATGCCCTGCCGGCACTGCTTCCGGCCAGCCTTAACCTCGGTTCAGGGCCCACTCAATGTGGACATACTAGTTCGAATTAGCAAAATGCTAATTCGAACTAGTTTTTAGGTCTAGATGCACTAGTTCGAATTAGCTTAGTTCGAATTAGTTAATTCGAACTAAGTTAGTACGAATTAGTGCTGTAGTGTAGACATACCCTAAGGGTACATCTTATTTCAAAATTTGGCGCTAGTCTACTCAGCGCTAATTTTGAAATAAATCGCTATTCCAATATCTTCCTTAATGCTCATGCAACAAGGTTTACAGGAAGCCAGAATAAAAGACCATTATTTTGAATCTATTTTGAAATAACGCGCATGCTGTTGTTAAGACGTGCAGAACGCTATTTCGGGATAATGGACGTTATCCCAAAATAGCACCACTGTGTAGATGTCCCCTATGGTGCTGCAGGACCAGTCATAGTTTACATTTTTTTCCTATTAAAACAGCACTGAAGACTCAACAACCCAGCTTTTAATTTGAGTCAGCACCTAGAGTTGCACCTCACCTCCCCTATAGATTTTAATTTGAGCTGCTGACCCATGTTGAGAGCTAAGTTGCAATATCTTCACTGCTATTTTAAGCCAAGTCAGCTAACAACAACTTAAGAATGTCCTTTTTTTTTGGCAGCAAGACATTCCCCCATGAAAATTTAGTCCTGAAATATTAAACTACCTCCATGTTTCGTTTTGCTTTGACCATTTCTGGGGGAGAGAAAAGTTCTGCAGGAACGAATACTTTTCCCCGGCCGCGCTTGAAAGGCGAAGGCTGTTGAGAAATTTTTTCAGAGCCCCTGTGTCAACCAGGTTCGAATTACAGGTCACTTGGAAAATGAGGCACTAAAAATGAAGTGAATGATGGGAGATTCCCTGCAGCTTATCTGCCCTTTCCAGCTTCTGAACACGATTGCAGCGAGCACAAAGCAGAAAGCCTCACAATGATGGCCTACATTTGGATACCATTTCACTGATGTTCAATTGGGGAGGGAAACAAACCCAGATGCCCTGGCCGCTGCTCTCGGGCTCACAAAAGGAAGTGGCTTTAATAGGCAGAAGTGACTTTTATGCTGCCAGTCAGGGCCAGTTCACACAAGGAGGTTAAGGCTTGAGGGCAATGGAAGTTTAAGGCAGTTTGAGGCTGAATAAGGAACTCTCCAGGCTAGCCACTTACAATTCAAGACTAGCTTCATCAGGCTAAACCCTTTTACGGATGAGGAGCAGAGGTCTGAGACACTGCCCCCCTCAGGTGAGCCATTAATGCTAGAGCTTGCTTGCTTTTGTCAAAGACAGAATCTAGGAAACAAAAAGTAACCAGGCCGCTGCGCCCAGGGAACCAGGCATTTTGATACAAATGGGCCTAAGGGAGCAGACCTTAAAAGGAAAAGTTGGACAGATCAAGATGGAGCCGAGTTACTAGGCTTTGTGTCCAGATTAGCAGAGCCACGGGAAGTCTGCAGGAGGCTGTCGGGGGGTACGCCTCTGGCGTGGGGTGCACCCCCCCTTTTACAGTCCCGTTGCCCCAGTCCTGGCCCCTCGATCAGAGCATACATGGTACTAACAGTCACAATACCAAGTCCAGGCCCCTCTATCAGGGCCTATACGGTACTAACCGTTCCAATATAGTCAGGCCCCTCTATCAGGGCCTATATGGTACCTGACACCTAGCCCGGGGAAAAGCCTCTCCTGGCTGGGGATGCTTGCCCAGGGTGTGGACAGGGTGGTAGGGGGACCCGGGCCCTCCCTCTCCACTGGGTCCCAGCCCAGGGCCCTGTAGGCAGGGACTATCGCTCCTGCCGGCTCGGTGGGGAATCCGGCCGATACACACCGAGCTGTGATAGCAACCCCTTGCCCTGGGCTGCTTCCTACCGGCCTGGCCCCCCCATAGTCAGTCGGCGTCGGCCCTTACCGGGGCTGGTGCTGGGGTTGTAGGTGGTCCAGTCCCTCAGGCGGGGTTGGCTGCTGGCTTCACTCCCGGAGTCCGATGCTGGCCCTCTCTCTGGCCTCAGCTGCTTTTTCTTCCCTCCAGCTGCCTCCCCTCCTGCTGGGCTGCCTCTGCCTTTATACTCTGGCTCTGCTGGGAGCAGGCCCAGCAGGGCTGGAGGGGCGGGGCTCTTTCAGCCAGCTGGGCCTGGGCTACTCCCAGCCCTTCAGTGCAGTGCCTGTTCACAGAGGCATTTTCAGAGAGGGATTTTCATATACCTTACTCCTGCACTGTAACTTTCAAAGCAAAGACTCCTTAAAGCTAAATGGGCCTGATTCTCAGTTACAACCTGTCTACACATGAAGTTATTTAGGAATAGTTATTTTTGGATAACTCCATATTGGGACACACTCATTCCAGAATAGAAGTGCCTTGTTCCTCTTTAGCTTGATCCACTTTTGTGCCAAATGCTTTCCTGGATTAAACTAAGCAGGAATAAGTCCTGGTCTACACAAACCCTTATTTCAAAATAACAAGCAAAGCACCCACATTACCAACCCCGCTATTTTGAAATAATGGGCTGGTTATTTTGAAATAATGCCACCTACTTTCCACGGGGAAAACCACTTATTTTGAAATCGTTATTTCAAAATAGCGGCAGTGTGGACGCTCTGGTGCTGCTATTTCGAAATGACTCCTCCCCAGAGTAATTCAAACTAATGACTCCCCAGTGCTTCCTAGAGCTCTAAGTCAAGGTAGCGCATCCACATTAACGGAGCCTGCCTCGGATTAATTTCGAGGCTTCTTTGTAGCAAGGACACGGTATTTGGATTTTGTTATTTCAGGAGTTATTTTGAAATTAGTTATGGCCTAATGTAGACATGCCCTGAGTGTCTACACAAGGGGCTAGTCTGGAATAGCTATTGGGCTTTAAACTTACACCCTACAGTCTTCCAAATTACGTTTCAAGTGTAACCAAGCCCTTATACTAAGGAGCCTTTCACTAACCCACTCTGAGGCTCCATGGTCCTGCCAGAGCAAAGAGGTCTCAGTATAAGCAAGATCAGGCCCAAACGTCACCGTTGTAAGTGCAATGCGGTAAGAATTAATTCTGCGACAGTGACCAACATGCACAAGCTTCACATCAGTTGTGTAAAACCCGTTTCTTCTGTTCATATATCAGGTACTGAGCAGCTGAATGAGTTACTCCGCCTCCCACATCTTTACCTGTCTCGGAGATGGAGCCTGGACGCTCTTTGGAGCAGGGGCTGCCTCTTTCTATCAGTTAGCAGGGCACCTCTCATGCGGGAGGGAGGGCTGATTTCAATTGGGACCGTACTGAAAGTAACTGACACACCCTTGCATTTCATCTTGTAAGCACTGGGTGAGAAGCCACAAAGCCTCCCAAGCAGCAGGCACATCAATTCCCTCTCCAACCTGACTCCATTCTGCTCAGAGGCTGGAAACTCAGCTGCAGGATCAAGGCAGGATCAGCAACTCGCACCGCAGCATGCGGCCTATAATTGCTCCACCTCACCCTGGCACAGCACGGCAGGCGACGCCTGGGCCATCGCGGGAGTCATTTGTAAGGAGCGCTCACCAGTGAGCAGGCTCAGCTAAGCATCCCAATGTCGGCATTAGGCAGCGGGCAGGCTCTGAGCTCTCCAGCAGTCAAAGGATGAGCTGAGGCGGGTTGCCCAGTGGCAGGCAGCTCAGTAGCTGCCAGAGAGAGTTATGCTATGGGAAAGTTTTAATATCACCCGCTCCTTCCCCTCTCCCCCGCGCCACTGCAGCTCTTCCTGCATTAAGCATCACTGCTTTTCCCAGCGTGAGGTGTCGTTGGATGCTGGTACCATTTGTTCTTCAGGCAAGCGAGGGGTGTGCGTTTGTGCTGACTGGAACTAACACGAAAGATCAGGGATTCTCAGGCTGCGTCTGCCTGTTAGAATACAGTTTCAGGATTCCTCTGATGAAAGCAGCCCTGGCCCTGCTAACAACTCCCCCTAGGGTCACACCTAGAAGTGGGCAGTGTTTGTGTGTGTGTGTGTGTGTACGACACCTAGAAGTGGGCAGTGTGTGTGTGTGTGTTTGTGTGACACCTAGAAGTGGGCAGTGTGTGACACCTAGAAGTGGGCTGTGTGTGTGTGTGCGCGCGCGCATGTGTGTAGGGCAGCAGGAAAAAAAAAGATGCAGATTTGGCAAAATGTTTCACGGTTGCATGCTAAAATCACCAAACTGTTCATGTCAAAAGATAATGTAAAAGATTCCGAAAAAAATCAAAATGTTTTGATGTTTTCAACATGAAAAATGTCAAGGGGGGCTGATTTGAAAGGACTTGGCCTTTTCTTTTCCTTTGTTTTAATTGTTAAGACTATGAAAAAAGAATCAGTTTAAATGGTCAAAAATGTTAAAACCTGCACAAGCCGTTTCACTTCCCCATCAGTTTTTTATCTGCACTTTGATTCACGGCGTGCTTTGAAAGGGTTTCTCTGGGTGCTACCCAAAACCGTTACGAGAGATCCAGAAAACTCTGCTCTTCTCCCAGCTCTTGTAGCAGCCCCCCAGCGAGAGCCCAAGTCGGGGTCTCTCTAAACCCAGCAGTGCTGCTGATAACCATGGCTCCAGGCCATCCTCTGTGAGTCTCTCCAGTCACTGCATTTGCCCCTCTGCATGTCTGGGCAGCAGGTGGATAATACGCTGTGCTTCTTCCTCTGTTACTAGCACTGTCACTCAGCTGTATCAGAGGCAGCAGCGCAGGGGGGGCAGGAGAGAGACAGTACACATGAGAAGTGGCTTTCAAGCCGGCTCCCCATGTGAATCAGTTTCCACCTGTCCCTTCCCCCCTTGTATAAACATGTAACCACTAAAAAATACAGTGGTTACACGTTTATACAAATACACGTTAGTTAACATCCCTACCGTGGTCCGGCACAGATGTTGCAGGGCCAGAGATTCCCAGTGGAGGGCCAGAAGGAGGGAGCCCAGCATAGCTGGCAGGGCAGCGGGGCCAGCAGCAGGTGGGGGCTGGCTACAAGGCTGGGGGGAGGCCAGTGGCAGGAAGCCAGAAATGACCTCCCCTGGTCCAACAAGATCCCTCATCCAGGAACAGTCAGGTCCCAAAGGTGACGGTCCAGGGAGGTCAAACCTGTACAAAGAAAGTAGCGTGATTTGGGAAAGGGGTTTCTGAGGCGCGATGCACTAGATCGCATTTCTAGAGTTAACATTATAGGTGTTGATACTCACCCTATTGCTGACTAAATCTCTTTTGGGTTATTGCTAATAAAAACACTGAGCCCTGGTATAACCACATGTGACTCTTCATTCTCCTGCCTGAACCGCAATAAGGCACTGAAGGTGACCACAGTTTGTTCGGAAACAACATCTCCCGCTAAAATAAACAGCTAAGGAATCTTGCTGTGTGTAGTGTTTGTCCTCCTTAGGGAGACAGAATCTTTTAAGTTTCATGGAGTTATGTCTTCAGGCCTGGGAAAACCAACCCAGACGACTGTCCAGCAGCATGACCTCTTGGACAGAAATGGCACGTTGAGCCAAGTGCTGTATTTTATGAGCAAGCACCAAAATCCTTACAGTGACAAGAGGAGAGTATTTAGTTCTGTGCTAATGCAAAACAACTGCTTTGCATAATTCCGCTGCGATATCCCTCCTCTGCCGCACGTTCAAAGACACCAGCTGGCACCCTCCACTTCTGAAGGCTTGTGCGTGTCAAAGCTGAACTCCATCTCGTGCAAAGCGAGCTCCCGAAGTTGAGAAATCCAAGGCCTGATTATTCAGCCAGCTTTGGCATCCTTCAGAGAGCAGCCAGAACATGGTTGTGTGCAGCTCTAAATGTGAAATTAGGAAACAATATAAGAAAATTGCCAGGATTAGTCATGTGTGGAAGTGAGATGAACGGCTTGCGAATACTGCAATCACGAACAATGGTAGGAGATGAATGAAAGGAAATGAAGAGTCCTTAGACAGTGCTGACAGTCATCTGTCCCCACTTTCTTCTACAGCCTCCTTCAAGTGGTATTTAGAAACGGGTTTTGTTTCCCCAATCTCCACTGAATTCTTGGATGCCTTTTTAAAAATACATATCAGTCAAGTTGCAGGCACTAATCCCACTCAGCAAAACAACACAGAATGAAAAGCAGTGGTTAAGACGGACAGCTAGACACACTGCGGGGGGGGGGAGAAATTATTTGAGTTTGGTGGTTAGCAGCTGGTATGCTCTGGCCTCTGCTTATTATGCCCCAGCTGTTCATTGCGTCCACTGTTGTCTCTTCTCTTGGTTTATTTACATGAGTCCTGGAATGAGGTGGTCAAACAGCTGGCAGAGCAATCTCAGCTTTCACTGAATCTCAACTCAACTCCAGTGCGTGGAGCAACTCTGCCTCAAGAGCTGACTAATCTCAGGCCTAGGTAGAGAGCAAACTCTTCTACTGCTCCCACAGCTCTTTCTCCAAGGGCCACCCGCTGCCACCACACAGCTCGCTGCATAACCAGAGCTAACTATAACACAGCATGTCTTCCCACCACTCAAATCTTGTCCACAGAGAAAGAGGACTTGGCAGGCTGTAACAGCGCCCCCTGGAGACCAGGTGTGCTGGAAGTGTGTAGGGGTGCAGGAGCACCTCATGGCATGAAGTCGTAACAAATACACGGTTTCCTGCCTTTAGCATCCCCACTCTAAAAATTGTTCTAGACTCCCTACCGCCTACCGTAACGGCACAATTGAGGCCCTAATCCAGTGGTCCTAAAATTCTAGAGCATACGCCAGAGAAGGGCACGGAGAAAGCAAGTGCTGTGTTCATGTCCAGCTAGTAGCAGGAGTCTTTGTTATTTTGTATGCATTGCTTTCAGTAGCACTTAAGGGAGGCAGTGTTGTCTAGTGGTTAGAGAACTTTGTCATGAGAGATCTGGGGTCTTTTCCCGGCTCTGCCACTGAACTTGGGAAAGTCCCTTCTCTGTGCCACAGTTTTCCCCATCTGCAAAATGGGGCTAATGAACTTGCTCTCTTTCACAACATGCTCGGAGATCTA